TAATCAAAGTAAACAGGAATGACTATTAAGTACAAAAATCAATTCTGAGATTTCCCCAATAATTTTGTATATTTTTAAGCTCGATGGAGGATTGAGAGATGCATAAGATCGACAGGGATAGAAATCGAAACGAGCGGATTCGTAACTTCTTACCTGAACGTAGTAGAGGTAGTTGCAAAAGAAGGGGAATTTGTGGCAAAGAAGTTCCCAATCAACCTGCTCTTTCTGAAGAAGAATACAAATCGATCACGCGATCGATTAATTCTCAGGTCACCTTCGGTAATGTCAGCTTGTGAGCTCTCTCAATTTCTCCCATTATTATCCTTTTGGTAGTCTCGGTGACGTTGTACGTACTACAAAAAAAGAAAAATAGGAAAATTTTCCCAGAAATTTTCACCTGTTCATCGACGGAAAGGCAGGAGTGATAACTGGCATCAAATGAGATCGATCACTCGCGTATCTAGAGACATATCTTAGGTCGCAGCAGCAGCATGAAGGATACCACTCACTGTTTAGGATTCCAAACCTTGAAGCTCATCAAACCAATCTCACTCGACTGTCTTATCGGGCACAGTGTGACCGGATTGTCCCAATTCCATCGCGATAAGATTAGGAAGAATCGTCGAACCAGTTGGACCTGTATAAATACATATTCCAACACTGAGTCCCCCAGTTGAACAATTTTTAAAATATTCATTGGTTTCGAACAACAATGCTCGGATACGTGCACCGCACAGCGAAGGATATCTCGCTCACTTCAAGAAGCCTTCAAACGCAATTTACCGTTATCATGCAACACCGACCGAAGATACGTCACTATCATCACTCCATCATCAAAGATTCAAAAGAGGCCCAAATATTACCGATTGCATGTTGGGGAACATCTGACATACTCTCGCCACCAGAATGGCCCATGTAATGCCACCAAAGAAGCCTGAAGGGAAAAGGGAGGACGGCGATGTGGTCGTCGATGAATAAAATGACGGCTACCGATGATATTGGCGTAAAGACCCCTCCGCTTCGCCCACAGTTTGATGAGC